GCTGAAATTGCTTCTAAGCTTTTCCAGTGAGGTAAACCTGCCAAGCAGCCTGTCTGCTCTGCCTTTGCCCCTCCTGCCTGCCCCCTACTGGTCTCCTTTATGTTCTTTCCTGTCTCAGAATCTTGATCTAATTTGCTCTCTCCCATCCTACTACTTTGCTTAAAGCTTTCCTGTTGGTCTTTTCAACCTCGATTCAGATTTTACCTCCTCTGTGAAGCCTTGACCCACCTTCCTCACGGGAGATGTTAGCCTGTTGGTCACCCTCAGAGCTCTCTGAACTTTTCCTTCATAGCATGTGTCACAGTTTGTTGTTCAAAATATGTTTACATCATTCATTGATATTTGTCTCAGCCACTAGGCTGGAAGATCCATGAGGGCAAGAAACACTTACGTTTCCTAGCACACTGCCCGTATCAATAACTATTTGTTAAGTGAATGGATAATAATAACTAACATTCATTAAATATTCACAGTGTGCTAGGCACTGTGCAAAAGCCCTTTAACTGTTTCCTTTAATTTTCATAACAACCCTCTGAGTGGGCATTTTTATTATCATCATTTTACTGATGAGGAAACTGAGGAAGAGAGAGGTTGAGTAACCGCCCCAAGGGTCTGGCTTTCTACTGTCATGCTGATGTCTAGGTGAAGGACTAAGACAAATCCCTCCTTTTTTAGAAAGACAAATCAGCCTCAAGGTCAAGACATCTGTACACAACTTGAGCAAAACTCAGCAGACCAAACTCACTGTGGGCAGCCTGGGATTAGGCCTGATCATCATCCAGCATGGGCCCTACCTTCAGATCACTCACCTCATTAAGAAGGGGTCTGCAGCCAGGGATGGAAAACTCCAGCCAGGTGACTGTGCTTTCCTCATGCCTCCCAAACACTCCACCTCTTTCTCCCTCCCATCTGCCTTCAGGGAGACTCAGGTTTCATTGTAACAATGATAATGATGACATTGTTTGAGAGCTTTCAATGGGCAGGCCAGTTGGTATTACTTGTATAACCTTCATCGTTGGGCATTTTTATTCATTGAATTCTTACAATAACCCTCTAGGTAGGAACTATTATCATCCCCCTTTTACAGGTGAGGAAACTGAGGCTCAGTGAGACTGAGTTCCTTGTTGAGGTTCACCCCCATCTAGCAGGTGGGATTCATATACAGGCACAGCATCACTCCAACGTTTATGGCTCTCTGTGGATAAAGCTTTCTTCTTTTGTAGGCAGTATTAATCATCATTAACATTTAGAAGCATGATCTTATTTCACCTTCCTGGCAATCCCTGAGGTAGATTCTACATTGAAAAAAATTTTTTTAAATTTTTTAATAGACCTTTATTAGAGTATAATTGCTTCACAATACTGTGTTAGTTTCTGTTGCACAGCAAAGTGAATCAGCCATATGCATACATATATCCCCATATCCACTCCCTCTTGAGCCTCCCTCCCATCCTCCCTTTCCCACCCGTCTAGGTCATTGCAAAGCACTGAGCGGGTCTCCCTGTGCTATGCTGCTGCTTCCCACCAGCCAACTATTTTACATTCCATAGTGCATATATGTCAATGCTACTCTCACTTCACCCCAGCTTCGCTCTCCCACCCCATGTCCTCAAGTCCATTTTCTATGTCTATCTCTTTATTCCTGCCCTGCAACTAGGTTCATCAATACCATTTTTTTTTTTTTTTTAGATTCCATATATATGCGTTAGCATATGGCATTTGTTTTTCTCTTTCTGACTTACTTCACTCTGTATGACAGATTCTAGGTCCATCCACCTCACTGCAAATAACTCAGTTTTGTTTCTTTTTATGGCTAATACTCCATTGCATATATGTGCCACATCTTTTTTATGCATTCATCTGTTGATGGACATTTAGGCTGGTTCCATGTCCTGGCTATTGTAAACAGTGCTGCAATGAACATTGTGGTACATGTCTCTTTTTGAATTATGGTTTTCTCAGGGTATATGCCCCGTACTGGGATTGCTGGGTCACATGGTAGTTCTCTTTTTAGTTTTCTAAGGAATCTCCATACTATTTTCCATAGTGGTTGTATCAATTTACATTCCCACCAACAGTGCAAGAGGGTTCTCTTTTCACCACATCCTTTCCAGCATTTATTGTTTCTAGATTTTTTGATAATGGCCATTCTGACCGGCATGAGGTGATACCTCATCGTAGTTTTGATTTGCATTTCTCTAATAATTAGTGATGTTGACCATCTTTTCATGTGCCTCTTGGCCATCTGTATGTCTTCCTTGGTGAAATGTCTATTTAGGTCTTCTGCCCATTTTTTAAAAAAATATTTATTTATTTATTTATTTATGGCTGTGTTGGGTCTCTGTTTCTGTGCGAGGGCTTTCTCTAGTTGTGGCAAGCGGGGGCCACTCTTCATCGCGGTGCGCGGGCCTCTCACTTTCGCAGCCTCTCTTGTTGTGGAGCACAGGCTCCAGAGGTGCAGGCTCAGTAATTGTGGCTCACGGGCTGAGTTGCTCCGCGGCATGTGGGATCCTCCCAGACCAGGGCTCGAACCTGTGTCCCCTGCATTGGCAGGCAGATTCTCAACCACTGCACCACCAGGGAAGCCCTTCTGCCCATTTTTTAACTGGATTGTTTGTTTTTTTGCTATTGAGCTCCATGAGCTGTTTGTATATTTTGGAGATTAATCCTTTGTTGTTTCAGTTGCAAATATTTTCTCCCATTCTGAGGGTTGTCCTTTTGCCTTGCTTATGGTTTCCTTTGCTGTGCAAAAGCTTTTACGTTTAATTAAGTCCCATTTGTTTATTTTTGTTTTTATTTCCATTACTCTAGGAGGTGGGCCAAAAAAGATCTTGCTGTGGTTTATGTCAAAGAGTGTTTTTCCTATGTTTTCCTCTAAGAGTTTTATACTGTCTGGTCTTACATTTAAGTCTTTAATCCATTTGGAGTTTATTTTTGTGTATGGTGTTAGGTAGTGTTCTAATTTTATTCTTTTACATGTAGCTGTCTGGTTTTCCCAGCACCACTTATTGAAGAGGCTTTTCTCCATTGTATATTCTTGCCTCCTTTGTCATAAATTAGGTGCCCATACGTGCATGGGTTTATCTCTGGGCATTCTATCTTGTACCATTGATCTAGATTTCTGTTTTTGTGCCAGTACCATACTGTCTTGATTACTGTAGCTTTGTGGTATAGTTTGAAGTCAGGGAGCCTGATTCCTCCAACTCTGTTTTTCTTTTTCAAGATTGCTTTGGCTGTTTGGGGTCGTTTGTGTTTCCATATGAATTGTAAAATTCCATCTGAATTTTTTGTTCTAATTCTGTGAAGAATGCCATTGGCAGTTTGATAGGGATTGCATTGAATCTGTAGATTGCTTTGGGTATAGTCATTTTCACAATATTGATTCTTCCAATCCAAGAACATGGTATATTTCTCCATCTGTTTACGTCATCCTTGATTTGTTTCATGATTGTCTTATAGTTTTCTGAGTACAGGTCTTTTGCCTCCTTAGGTAGGTTTATTCCTAGGTATTTTATTCTTTTTGTTGCAGTGGTAAATGGGAGTGTTTCCTTAACTTCTCTTTCTGATTTTTCATTGTTGGTGTATAGGAATGCCAGAGATTTCTGTGCATTAATTTTGTATCCTGCAACCTTACCAAATTCCTTGATTAGATTCTACATTAAACCACCTTACAGAGAAGGAATCAGGTATTTAGTAACTTGTACCTTGTCACACCAAGGAGTGGGGATTTGAACCCTCTCTGTTACACTCTTTGTCAGTACTGCCCTTCTTCTCTTGGCTTTGGGTGAATGAATTTTCCATCCAATTCAAGACGTTTTCCCAGTGCCTACTCTGGGCCTGGTGCTGTGCTCAGGAGTCAGGGATGCACAATGGGATGGTAAGGTGGTGGGAAGGAGAGACCATTCAGTGGGAGCTGGCCTGAATTCAGGCCCAGGCTCTGCCACTTTCTAGTTCTGTGACCTTGGACAAAGTCCCTTAACTTTCCTGGCCTTAGTCACCTCATCTCTAAATTGGGATAATACCACCTTTGTCAGAAGTTGCTAGGATTTGATGAGATAATCTTTATGAAAGTGCTTTGAGGACTACAGTGCTATGGAAATACTGGCAGTCATTTCTCTTAGGCTGTTCTTACTTAGAGATTCTTTAGACTGGTATCTTTTTTGTTGTTGTTGTTGACCAAAAATGATTGTGGTACAGGAGCCCCCAGTGGATTAAACCACTGGTTTGCAACTCTGATTACCTATTAGAATCGCCTGGAGACCTTTTAAAACAAAAATGCCTTGGCCCCATGTCCCCAGAGGTTCTGATTCAATTGGTTTGGCTTTGGGGATAGGGCAGTTCATGGTTTAAAAGCTCCTCAGGTGATTCTAATTGCAGCTAGGGTTAGAAGCAGTGGATTAAAGAATTAAGTAGATCAATGATGCTATTACAAAATTTTACCTCACCTTAAAACCCAAAGCATTTTCTCCATGTAGAAAATGGTGCTGGGGAACAAACTGACAGAGAGTTCTGGACGTTCCAGACCAAAAGAACTCTAGGCCAGGTCCCAAGGGCCTTTTCTGCTTGTTCTCCTTTGCTTCTCTGGGGTCAGGGGACAGATGCTTGGTTGATAACCAGAGTGCACACTCACTAGAGTGGGACAGGAGTATGCTTTCATGCACATGAAACAGAATCTCCTGGTGGAGCTACAGTTAGTGGGCTCCTGGAGGTCAGAGGCAGTCTTGAATTCACCTTTTAAATCTACGACTCACCTACAGCACTGGCACATTTATTATGTCTGTTTGATAAGTGAATAGCAAGTGAGTATTTGTCCTAGGCATTTTGCAAGGTGTTTCCACATCTATTATCTCACTGAATCTTTGCAACACTCCTGGAAGGTAGATAACAAAACATATAGCCTTAGAGAGATGAAGTAATTTGTTCAATACAGAGCTAAGTGGGTGGTCAGAGCTGAGACGTGAAACCATATCTGCTTAGAAAGCCCATACCTTTGACTAGAAAAGAGATTTCAATAGAGAGTAAGTCCAGGGCCCCAAATCTCTTCATGACAAGTCAGCCACTTCTCTTCAAGGTCTAGGTTTCAAAGACTCTGTAACTCAGTCCTTTTGACAATGATTATGAGATTTTGAGAGGTGATGAAACCTGTTTTTTTTTTGACCCCATTACCTCCCAGCCCCCTTATTTCTCATTCATGTGCTTTGAATTTCTCTCTTTTTGGTGTTTAATAATAGGGCTTCATCTTGACTTCCTAATTAGTTTATTCTGGCTAAACTTTAAAATCCTTTTGGCCAGTATAGCTTTAGCAAACTCTGATATCCAGAGTCTTAAGAAATTAATATAGCTTTTTTTCCCTTTTCTCGGAGAAATTAATATAGTTTTGAAGGTAAATACAAGTCATGCACTGGTCACCACCCTTACTAGGCCACATTCATCCAATAAGCATTTCCTGAATGCCTGCTCTGTGCAGGCATCCTGCTAGGCACTGTGGTATAGTGATGAGCCAGACATACATGGTCTCTAACCACACAGAGCTTATGGAATTTACAGCCTAGTGTGTAGAGATGGTAGTGGCTTGGCTGCTGCAAAGTTGATTAAATATAGGTAATCGAGACAGTTTATATAATGTGCTTCCTATAGCCCATTAAAACAGAAAGAAAATGTATAATGTTGATATTCATAAATACCAAATTGGTGTTTCTTTATGAAAGGCAACGTTAATGTCTATTGCCAGATTACTCACATTCACACAATGATATGTCTGGTTTACAGCCAGGATGGTCAGGGAATTAAGCTGTTTATTTTCTGCCCTCTTGATAAAAGTCACCCTTTAACAACATAATTAAGCAGAATGACAAGCCATAAATACTCCTTTTAAGATTAGGCAAGTAAGCTCATACAGTGAGGTTTTCTTCCTCCCCCCACCATTTTAATTAACCTCCATAGGGTGAACAGTTTTAGATCGCACAATCTGCAGGTTGCCAGGAGAAGCCCTGTTTCATTCTGAAGTTAGCCCCAGCTATTTTTAAAGACCAAAGTAGAAGGTTTTCTTCACCCTTCTAAGTATTCATTTTCTTTAATACTGTGAACTTCTGTTTCTGATAGGATCTAGCACTATGGAAATTTGTCCTTGGCATTCCTTGGAGGCTTCCTTTGGGATCAGCATAATTCCCAGTTATAGCACAGTGGGGAGTAGTATCAGAGAATGTACTTCATCTTGACTCTTTTCTCCTCTGAGGTTAGGCTTCAGCTGTCTTTGAGGTTGATTGAGGGGTCTCTAGCTTCCCATGCACAGAGAGGTGAACATATCCTTTGGGACTCATTGGGGTCACTTTATCCGATGTTAGCTATAAAGTATCCATGACCATTTGGCAGGATGTTGGCAAGAGCTGATGACTAAGATTTTACCCAATGTGAGTCTGTCCTTAAAAAGCAATTTCCCTGTATTCCTTCCCCTCTTGCTGAATGCCCTTGTAGTAGTTAGAGGTCTTCAATACAAGCAATAGAAAAGTTCTGTTAAGGCATTGGATTTAGAACACCGAGTCTGACAGAATTGCCAGAAAGCCTGGAGAACCAGGTTTGGAAAATGGTGAGAGAACAAAGGGCTATGGAAACTGGGTGCTCCTGTCACCTCTCTGCATCTCCTGCTCCAGGTTCAGTGACCCAGGGAGACTGACAAATAACTAGACCTAGTTTACATGTTCATGCCCTAGCTGCTGCGTACAAGTGAATAATTGGTCTTTTTAACATCCAGTTTGGAGGGCCAGGGGCTTGCTGTCAAGATGTGGTTCTCTTCCTATCTGCTGGGGGCTCAGGAGCTCCATGGTTGGCCATCACCCTCCCCTGCCTGTTCAGCACTGTGCTATGGTAGGGGACCTAGCTGTCAAATCCCTTTGAGCTGACATACTCTCTGTATACATAGCTTAAACTTAATTAAAGCATGCTAATTGTCCAGTGTTTCATGTAGAATTACTTGCTCAACGAATACTATGTAAGGGCAAACATTAAACTGAAAGGCTTGATGTTTAATATGGTCTGCTTATTGTGGAGAGCATTGGAAATGGCCAGGCAGGTATAATAGAAAGTAGGTCATTTATTCACTTAGTGTAAGTGGTTTTTTCTTTAATAGTAATAGCCATTTATTTTACTTGAAACACATTTTTAGAATCCTAAAGGATGATTCAGATTATAAATGGTTTTTAGCCTCTGTCACACCAAGGACTTTAGAAATGTTGTAAAAACGTGCTACAATATCTACCACCACACTATTAAGAAACATCTTGCATGTATTCTCCATTATTCAAAGGATACTTATGTCACTAAGAGGGTCATTTTTATTAAATAAAGGCTGAAGCCTGGCTTTGGTTCAAAATGAACCAACAATATGAACCCATAAAATGAAATACCTCACCCAAAAAAAAAAAAAAAAGAAAAGAAAAGAAAAGAAAAACATCACATAATAAAGCCAGAAACGGTATGATCCTTTTAAACCATTATCTTAATTTTACTGATTTTTTTTTTCCTTTTTCAGGTGATGTTTTGATTAGTGTTGGCTATGCCAATGTGTTAGGATATACTCTTCGAGAATTTTTAAAGCTTTTGCAACATATCACCATAGGAACAGTGCTACAAATCAAGGTTTACCGAGATTTTATTGACATACCCCAAGAATGGCAAGAAATATATGATTTAATCCCTGAGACCAAATTCCCAATTACACGGTAAGTAGTTAAGTTTAGGAAATCTTTGTTATACTACAGAATTCCCCAGGGTCTATAGAGTAGAGTCTTAGTTTAATGAGAGAACTATCATTTGGACCACGTAGGAGGGATTGATGACACTGCCACAATTTAGTGGGTTTCTAAGTCCTTTTCAAAGTACAATCTGTAGGACCTAATATGAGGCAGAATGATAAAGGCAAGAGCCTTGGACATGGAGTTTAAAAAAAGACCAAACTATCTAATGGCAACTCCACCTCCAAACCTACATGCGTGACTCCGCCTTTTCCAAAGTTAGCCCTTAAACATGTGCTGTGAATCCCATTTCCGCATTTGTCTCCGGCATATTCAACTTCTCTCTCTGGATCCTTCCCAATAACATTTAAGCCCTTTTAAAACCTCTACCATCTTAGCAAACCCCACCTAATTCCACTCTCCTCTCCTTTCCCTTCCAGCCACTGCCCTGTCCCTTGACTCCAAACCCATTGAAAGAGCTGTATTAGACTTTGCCATTTCCTCAGGAGACACCATTTCCCCCCTCAGTGCAGGCCTTGGCTGAGTCCTTTTTCCCAGGGTCACCTTCATACTGCTGATTTCAGTGGACTCTTCTCAGTCTTTATTTTACTTGGCTTCTGAGCAGCATTAGACACTGTACACTCAACTCTGGTTGAAACATCATTTTCCCCAGGCTTCTGGGATACCATACTCCCATGATTTTCCTATTTCCTCTAGTCACTTCCTCTTGATCTCCTTTTACCCAACCTTGGAGTTAGTTCCTCAAGGTTTAATCTTTGGCTTTCTTCTCTCAATCTCCTAAGCAAACTCCTTGATTTCTCTAAAAATAGAACTACCATATGACCCAGCAATCCCACTACTGGGCATATACCCTGAGAAAACCATAATTCAAAACGAGACATGTACCACAATGTTCACTGCAGCTCTATTTACAATGGCCAGGACATGGAAGCAACCTAAGTGTCCATCGACAGTTGAATGGACAGAGATGTGGCACATGTATACAATGGAATATTACTCAGCCATAAAAAGAAATGAAATTGAGTTATTTGTAGTGAGGTGGCTGGACCTAGGGACTTTCATACAGAGTGAATAAGCCAGAAAGAGAAAAACAAATACTGTATGCTAACACATATATATGGAATCTAAAAAAAAAAATGGTTATGAAGAACCTAGGGGCAGGACAGGAATAAAGATGCAGATGTAGAGAATGGACTTCAGGACACGGGGAGGGGGAAGGGTAAGCTGGAATGAAGTGAGAGAGTGGCATGGACATATATACACTACCAAATGTAAAAGAGATAGCTAGTGGGAAGCAGCCGCATGGCATAGGGAGATCAGCTTGGTGCTTTGTGACCACCTAGAGGGGTGGGATAGGGAGGGTGGGAGGGAGATGCAAGAGGGAGGAGATATGGGGATATATGTATAAGTATAGCTGATTCACTTCGTTATAAAGCAGAAACTAACACAACATTGAAAAGCAATTATACTCCAATAAAGATGTTAAAAAAAAACTCCTTGATTTCTGTGGTTTCTATTAGTATCCATAAATTAATAATTTTCAAATTGTATTATCTCCAAACTTGTATAAACACCCACTTGATATCTGCATTTGTATGTATCATAAACCCCTCAAACTCATTATGCCTAAAATCAAAAGCCAGCTTGCCACTGTCCTAGTGGAAGAACACTCACATAGTCAAAGAAGTCAGAAATTTATGGGTTGTGCTTGATTTCTCCATCTCCCTTTTCTTTTTCTTTCTTTTTTTTTTTTTGCGGTATGTGGGCCTCTCCCTGTTGTGGCCTCTCCCATTGCGGAGCACAGGCTCCGGAAGCACAGGCTCAGCGGCCATGGCTCACAGGCCCAGCCACTCCGCGGCATGTGGGATCTTCCCGGACCAGGGCACGAACCCTTGTCCCCTGCATCGGCAGGTGGACTCTCAACCACTGCGCCACCAAGGAAGCCCCATCTCCCTTTTAAATGACAAATTCAGTGCTCTGATGCAAGAGTGGTCCTTATTAATTCTGACCAGATTCCTGACCACCAGTTGCTACAGCTGTGCACCTTTGCTTATTAGGATGGGCTCAAAGAAATATGGCTAGGGACTTTACTAAGACTAAAAAATGGCCCATATTCCATAGACATTACTTTAGACTCCAATTTGTGGCCCTAGGAAGTGATATGGCCAGCAGATGTGCTTTGCTTGTCTCCCTCAGTGTTTTTTTCCCGAAACGGGGCACGAACCCGCGTCTCCTGCATCGGCAGGCGGACTCTCAACCACTGCGCCACCAGGGAAGCCCTCCCTCAGTGTTTTAAACACTGTAGAGAGAAAGGAGAATACGTACGGGGGGGCTTTTCCAGGGGGCAGTAATATGCTATTTCTTGACCTGGGCAGTAGCTACCAAGGTATTTATAATTTTTTTCATTTAACTTTTTTGCATTTTTCTGTGTATTTCAAAAAAATTTTTAATGAAAAAAATATATGAATCGCTAAATTTACAAATCTTTCATGCAAAGAGTCTTTATCTCTGGTTTCTCCTGAAAAAACTAGAAGATGGGCTTGCATTCCCACACGGTGACAGTGGACTAGAGCTGGGCAGTTGTCCCCTTCAGATGAGGTACAGATTGGGGAAAAAATTCCCAATAACTAAACCAATCCTGATTTGATTAAAAATCATTAATGATAATAGTGATAACTGCTTACTATGTGGTGGGCCCTGCTTTACAAGCATTATACCATTTTAATCCTCATGCCAATGCTTTTTATTTATCCTTGTTTTACAGATGAGAAAACTGAAGCCAATAGAGTGTATAAACTTGCCAGAGGCCACAGGGCTAAGTGGTATATGTCTGTCTCCAGAGCAGCAAAGTCCAATAAGAACTTTCTGTGATAGTGGAAATGTTCTGTATCTGCGTTATCCCATGTGGTAGCCACTAGCCACAGGTGGTTACTAAGCCCTGAAATGTCAAGATTTGTAACTGAGGAATTTTAAATTTTATTCAAGTTTAACCAGTTTAAATTTAGCAGCCACACGTAGCTGGTGGACCTTGTATTGGGGAGTTCAGCTCCCGAACTTGAGCTCTTAACCATTTGCTTATAGAACAACTATGTTCTAAGCAGAGTTTGAGATTCAGAATATTAAAAATCTAAGGATGGCAGATTGACCATTCAAAAGCAAACACAGAACAGCACAACTTAAGTATGAGGCTAAAATCCACAAACTTAAGAACAATATCAATCATGTTCTGAATCCCTTTCTTAATTAAGCAAAGTGCTTATAGCTAAGGCATTTTAGCATCTTATGTGGAAGGGGGCGGGGAAGGGGCAGAAGTGGAAGGAAAAGGCTTATTTGGTATGACTTCCTTCAGGAGCAAACAGCACTGTGTGCACAACAGAGAGAATATTCCATATGATGCTCTGGGCAGGCCTAGTCATATAAAAACTGTTTCCAGCTAACCCTGACCTCTGCTGGCTTGTGGCATTACTATCTAATGCAGTTCAATAAGAACCTGGCTCTGCTGCCTGTCCTTCATGGTTATCTAATACAGTTATAAAGGATGTCCTTTGCACTCTGAAGGCAAACTGTTCTAGCCCTGAGATCTGAATCTCCCTGTACAGCACTAAATCAAGGATTAAAAGAAAATAGTACAGTTAAGACTAGTGGCCCTTTGTAAAATTGACTCCATACCAAATGTCATTTCCAGAAGAGATAAACTTTAGGAAAAGCTTCAAAAGCTTAGGAGCAAATAAAACAGGCAGGCCTCCAAGGATGTTAGTGAAAACACCAGTAAGTCTGATAGCTTGGAGGGACTGGGGTAGGGAAGAAATCTATTTCCTATTAGCAGCACAGAAAGTAACAGAGAAAGTAACCGAGGTTCATAATTACAAAGGTCTGGTTTTGGATCTGCTGGCAAATCCAGCACCAGAATGAGAGGTAGCAGGTAACAGACAGCATTTGTTCAGGAAAATAATAGCAGGCACACGTGCTGCCATTAGAAAAGTTCAAGAAACCTGCTGTTGGCAAATTACAAAAAAAAAAGTCTTTACAAGTTTTTGCATGGCAACAGCGAGGTGGAATAGTGAATGATGAGACATCTGGATAGAAGGGTATTCTACAGATCCACATATGTAAACCCAAATGAGAAGCAAAGAATGATGCTCAGGGGAGGAAAAAAAAAAGACTCAGATTAGCATGTTGAAGATCTTTGAGGGCCATTATTTCTGGACATCCCCTTGGAAATCAGTAATATTCTGTTATTGCTGACCCCATGTGACCCATGAAAACTGAGTTCTGTGGAGGAGATGGCCACATTGACCTGTCATTCTGTGTGAAGTGAAATTAACCCACCGTTAAGGCCTGCTAATATTCTGGTCAATAGTCTGGCTTAAGTCTGTGCAAAGCTTTTTAAAGTAATGTGAAATAATCTAGGGCAGAATTTGATTTCCATTTAGGAATGGAAACAAATTTAAAGGTAATTTTTTTTTTTGGCCGCATCTCGCGGCTTGTGGGATCTTAGTTCCCCTACCAGGGACTGAACCTGTGTCCTCGGCAGTGAAAGCTCGAGCCCTAACCACTGGACTGCCAGGGAATTCCCTAAAGGTAATTTTACAAAGAGAAAATTTTCAATAACACAGAAAGGTAGTGTTAAAGCTAAATTGTATTCTTTCTTTTACGAACCAAAGCAGGTTGTAAGACATCTCTTAGGTGATAATGAGTGTTCAGACATTAAGAATCCATTTCATTCACTATTCTTCTCATTTCAGCACAACAAAGAAAACTGAGGAGGCAAAAGATGACTCTTTCACAAGCAGTGACGAGGATGAAGATGCAGTTTTAGATAAAAGACTTAAGTACTATAAATATCCACAGTCCACTGGGCACTACCCTGCAAGGAGACCGATGTCTATCTCTAGAGAATGGCATGGATATAAAAAGAAGAACTGTACTTTTAGTGTAGGAAAAGACAGTAACTGTGACGTGATGATTCACAAAGACCACAAGAAAGAAGTGAGCGTCCCTTCTCCATACTGGACAATGGTGAAGCAAGACGACGAAAGCTCCTCCTCCTCCTCGGCCTCCTCCACCTCAGATGCATTTTGGCTCGAAGACTATGCCCATGCTGAAAATGGCAAGAGTGAACCTGTATCAAAAGTTGGTTAGGCAGCAGTTTGCAAATCTGTGACCACAGGAGCATTTGTCTTGAAAACACCCATTTTTTGTGCACTGCCATGTATACGTTTGCTATACTTACAGGAATATGTGCAGACTTAACATTTCTCTTTCACGAGTGTGTTGTAAAGCCTTTAGAGACCTTCTTCAGTGTGATATCCAAAGATTTCCTTGGGGTTTCACAGGCCTCACAATTATTCAGATCCTTAAGACCCTCCTTTCTGAGAAGAATGTCTCATCATTTAGAAAATGCAGCAGAGGAACCCAATATCAGAATGTATAAACACAGGAGAGAATTTTACTCTTTAAGGTATCACATTTTACTTTAGTTTCTCGTTTGTAAACTTCAAGTGCCCTACTTAAAAGAAATGAGAGATTTTTGACTAGTTGTTCACATTAGTTTTTCCCCCCTTTTCAGCCCCACTTTTACCTTTTTAAAAAAAAAAATTATTTATTTATTTGGCTGCACTGGGTCTTAGTTGTGGCATGTGGGATCTTAGTAGTGGCATGTGGGATCTTTCATTGTGGCGTGCAGGCTCAGTAGTTGCGGCACAAGGGCTCTCTAGTTGTGGCACATGGGCCCTAGAGCACTCGGGCTTAGTTGCCCCACAGCATGTGGGATCTTAGTTCCCCGACCAGGGATCCAACCCGTGTCCCCTGCATTGGAAGGTGGATTCTTAACCACTGGACCACCAGGGAAGTCCCCCTACTGTTACTTTGAATGTTGGGTTGATAGTTAATTACTTGAAAGAGATAGGATAGAAACAGATGAGGGAGAAGGTGAGGAAAAAAACCCACAAAATTCTGCCACAGTGAAGATAAACATAAAATAAAGCAGTGCGAATACAGGATATGACTGGCAGGGAATTTATATTTTTCAAATAACTCTTTCGCAAAAAAGGGGGTAAAACCCAGACCATTTAATTATTCTTACCCAAGAAGACAGACTTTTAACTGCATTTATCTTAAAAAGCCACCAATAATAATCTGGAAATAGTTACTCTGATAGCCACTTAGCCTTAATTTTTAATAGTTTCTCATGCTTCTATACTTTATTATTATATTCCTGTTCTCCTTTAAAGCATCTAAAACAAAAACTCAGCATGTAACAAATACTTGTTGATTAACTGATTAGGAAAAACGCAAGAAAAACATTTAAACAGAATGTTTTATTGACTTTAGGTCAGCTGGGAACAATTACCTGCATTTATGCTTTATGATATTTCATCTCATTGGAAAAAAAGATAAATGTTACATTAGAGACTTTTCACTTTCACATACTTGCTGCTCTGCGTTGAGAAAATGTTCCGCTCTTTCCTGCAATATGTGTTTCAGTACTACAACTCATCAACGAAAGGTGTATGCCCCAAATTTCCACTTGCTGCCATTGACTTCCGGCCAGAAACAAACTTCTTTGCAGCCTTTAAGTAAACAAACAAAATAAGACAGAAAGTTAATAGAAATAAGCAAGTAGATAAACTTCTGTTCCTTTGAGTATTTCATCCTATGTGTGACTGAGCAAGTGTGGTGCTCTAAATATGAGCGTAGCTGTTAAAGAGGGAAAAGGAAAACCCTTCTGACATTGCAAAACAGGGCAGAGTCTCCTTGAGCAGAGATGTACTTCCCTGCTTTGGTATTGCAATGGCAAATAGTCTGAGTCAATAAAAATAAACTGATTGTTAACTTAAAAGTTACACTTTATATCCTAGTATTCTTTATCCCGCTACTTTGAGTCCAAAGGCTGGTTGTTTAGGTTAAGTGCAATACCACGAGGAGCAGTCCCACATAATCTCAGGTCAGCTTTTTTAATAAAGAGACAGTGTTGCAGGCAGCTGGGTTGGACTCACATGATAGTAATGGTATATAAAATGAGGACAGCCATTTGGAAGAGTATGTAATGATGAACTTATGGTTCAAGTGAAATCAAGTCAGGGTTGCTATCTTAAAATAGCCTGCTTCTTTTTTCTATCCCCAAGGGGAGACCCCTTGGTAAGAAGATGGTTAAGACCTCGACCATGGAAGGGGAGTTGGCATTTTTAATACAGAAAGGACTGATTTGGGGTTCATTCTGTAGTTCATGTACTTGTTAGGCATAGCAGGGAATACAAAGAGGTATAAGACATAGTCCTTGCCCTCAAAACAACTCAATTTTATAGGGAACAATATATGTGAAAAAAAAATAGAGCAGGGGCAGGAGAAGGTCTTAGGTTGAGAAGACTAAAGAAAATCTTGATATGGTAGGTTGCGAAAGATTGGCAGGATAGAGAGTTTATTTCTTAGGAGTGAGGAGGAAAATACCAAACTCGACAGTTAGGTTGAATTGTATGAAACTGCCAATATTTGACTATTCTTGACCTTTAAGAATTTAAAATGGTTTAACCTAATGGTAATTTAGTTGCATGAGGAAGATACATCACCCTGAGTTGACAAGGAAGCTATCTGCAGATATGGGGATGAGCCCTTCTGCCTCCACACCAGGTACATAGGCACCAAACACCACGAGAACAGCATATACAGCCCAAGGAAGGTTACGCATTCCTTCTGAAACTGGATCATTAAGGACAAGTTATTTGATGTTAAATAAATTTTCATTTGCTTACATTTATGACATCAGCGTCAGCTACCGAGTCAATCTGCTGAAGGACTGTGGATGGCGGCACATATGAACCAGCAACTAGAGCCTGGGACCCAACTTCATCCAGGAAACCCTCAGAAGACTCCACTGACATTAGGTACCCAGCTTTCAGCTTGTTCCTGTCCAATAAAAGGTGTGTAACTAAGGCAGACGCCAGTTTAATAGAGCAAGGCAAAGTATGTTCCCAAACCCTTAAACATGTTTGGGTAAATACGCAAACTAACAGCTTTGAAATCTTACAGTGCTAAAGGTCTCCATTCTATTTCTTCAATTCACCAACTATTTTAGATACAGTTTTGGTGATGGTTTTAGGCATCTCTATTAAAGAACATCCCTATGTGGGCTCTTCTCATTGTCCCTTTAGCAGAATGCTGTGTGCTGATAATATAACTTCCCTTAACCCCACGCCCAGTCCATTTGTGTGCTGGGATTTGTCTCACTGAGAGTAGGGCAAGTGGGGAAGGACAGTATAGGTCTTATAAGTCCCTGCAGCTTAAATATGGGCACAAAAACATGAATCTGAAATAAAACAAAATCTAATTCATACTTATCCCAGAAAGAAAGTAATGTTCAATAAGGCACTTGAGTTATTTAACTCAAACTAATCTCCTTGGCACTCTGTAGCAAGACTTCCATTTAAACATAATTACAATTTAATGTAGCAATTTTACCACACTGTCCACATAATCGAAAAAAGATTTTACCTGCAATAAACTTTACCAAGTGATTATTAGTCTGTCCCTTCAGCAATGACACCTCACCTTCTCTCTTTCACTATAGGAGGACTAAGAACCTTACAAAAAAAGTATCAACTCCATCAAAATGGCAGAAAATAAATGTATCTTGACATTAATAACCAAAATTCCATTTTCTAAATGTTGCTGTACCTGGTAAGAACTGTGCCACACTTATTAAGAAAATACATTTTCTTAAATAAATAAGATTTGAAACAGATTTCTCCTAAGCTTATCCATTGTTTCAATTTATTATAAGGTTTGTTTCTGATGCAATCATGCAGAGCTGCATCCTATCGATCCTTGGTTCCATGTATACAATATTTAATAAATTGTGTTGTACTTATTTGAGAGATGCACTTCTTAGTGTGTTCAGTATAACAAAAGCAATAATACTAATGAGAACAGAAATGGTACAAGATTGTTCCCTCCTGGGTTGTAATTCACCCTGTCATATTTCCTTTGTGGGCAATACTAAATGATCATGAAGGCCTCTGGAGTTTTAGGATTCACATTCTGAATTGTCCTAAATGGATGGAGTCAAATTTAAATGTTTTAAACTCCTGTATGAAAATGCAAGCTGACTTCCAACTCTGTCCAAAGTCTGTCTCTTTTAGAGAAACTCCCAGAGCTACTGAGTTAAGAGGTGTTGTTAGCACTTTCAATGAGGACAGTGGGAACTTAAAAATCACCAAATAGGAGACAGATATTGCAATCTTTTAATCAGATATATTTTTTGGTCTATCAAATCAGTAAAGAGGAAAAAGTTGCCAATGGTTATGGCAGAACAGGCACTATCATATATACTGATGATGTGCTTATCAACTGGTAAAACCTTTCAACATGGTGTCTCCAAAATATAAAAATAAAAATATTACATAAACACAAATGTATATTTTAAGGCACTGTCTTTTATTATAGTGTTCATAACTCTTGGCCCAGTTGCGAATCTATACCAAGAAAGTATTATGAAATACAAAAATGTTTTAAAACCCAAAGATATTCTTCATAGTTTATAATTTCCAACTGCCAACTTGTTGAAAATGTCCAACAAGTATATTTTGACACACCAATTAAAATTGTTTATGACAAATTTTTGGTAAAAAAAATAAATGGAATAAATGCAAACAGCATTATAATGTTAAAAAAAGAAGCAACATTGGTAGGGAATGAAAAGTAATTTTTGTCTTTGTTTGTAATTTTCAACTTCTACAATAAACACTAAAGTATTATTTATTAACAAGTATATATACAATATTAACAATTATGTTTAAAAATGGTCAAGAAAGGGGCTTCCCTGGTGGCGCAGTGGTTGACCGTCCGCCTGCCAATGCAGGGGACACGGGTTCGTGCCCCGGTCCGGGAAGATCCCACATGCCACGGAGCGGCTGGGCCGCTAATCCATGGCCACTGAGCCTGCGCGTCCGGAGCCTGTGCTCCGCAACGGGAGACGCCACAACAGTGAGAGGCCCGCATACCACAAAAACAACAACAACAACAACAACAAAAAATGGTCAAGAAAATAATGAAAATGTTAACAATTATATCTCTAGGGGGTAGGAGTATATTTCCCTTTCCTTTTAAATACTTTTCTGTACCTTTCAATCCTTTTGTGTATTTAT